ATCCAAGTGATAAAATACAACAAAAACTCAACTGGCCATTGCTGGCTTTATAGCTGGAGGAAGAGGCCATGGGCCAAGAAATGTGCGTTCCTCCAGAAGCTGGAAAGGACAAGAAAACGGTCCTCCCCAGGGCCTCCAGAAGGAACGCAGCCCAGTGACCCCCATCTCAGACATCTGGCCTCCAGAACTGTAAGATAATAAATCTGTGTTGCTTAAAGCCACTGATTTTGTGGCAATTTTTTTTTTTTTTTTTTTTTGAGAGCATGAGAGCGGGGAGGGTCAGAGGGAGAAGCAGACTCCCCACTGAGCTGGGAGCCCGATGTGGGACTCGATCCCAGGACTCCAGGATCATGACCTGAGCCGAAGGCAGTTGCTTAACCAACTCAGCCACCCAGGCGCCCGTGGCAATTTTTTATCGCAGCAATAGGAAATTAATACACATTGCAAAATGTCTTCAGTATTCTTGGTAAATGTTTGCTGCTCTTTTTCTCTTTTTTTCTTTTAGAACATGTACGTAGATGTGTATGTGTAGACGTATATATATACACACACACGTACATACAGCTTATATTTACTTTTATATGTGTGTACATATCATCACTGAATGAGTTAAGGCAGGGAGGCCCCGGCAGCGTTGTAGTCCTGTAGGCTTTCAAGATGCCAGGTCTTGCTCGGAAATTGCCGCTAGAACAGATTGCCTCCTGGAACACGGCACATCTTCATGATTCTTTGTGCAGACGTCTCTAGACCCGAGGGGTTCCAGTGGGGCATGTGCCCATCTCTTTTCTTCCTGCCCACATCAGAGCCGCCAGCAAGAGGATCTGCCAGTCAGGGTGTGTCTCTGGCTCTCCAGAACTGTGTTTCTGCTGATGTTCTCTGAGCTCTGTAGCATCTGGGCTGCCCCCACCCAGATCTGTCCTCAGCGTGTCTCCATTTCCTTCCAGCAGCTCTTGTCACAGCACAGTTGCTTTCAGGGGCATCTGCCTTTGTGTGGGAGTTCACCTTCATTGCTGAAAATGAAGTTTGCATTTTTTACTGGTCCTTTTTTTATTATTATTATTTTTGGAGCATGGAGGAAATTGAGTTTCACAGATACGTTCATGAGAGAATTCTAATCTGAATTTTTAGTAAGTGTCCCAGTTGACCAAAAGAAATCTTTGGGTTACACTTTGAGAAACATCTAGAAAATTTTCACTATTGAATGGAGAGACTTGACCCTGAATCAAAGACAAGCTCAGGGGTCCAGCCAGATGAGCACCTTACATCATGCTCGGCAAATACTAACGGCTCCATAAGCATACTGAGTGGAACAAATGGGATTTTTGCTAGGTCTTCTGCTAAGGAAGATCCTAAAGGCAAAGTATTTTTTGTTTTTCAAAAACTGGCAAAGATGTTAAGTAGGATAGTTTAGCCCCAGCCCCTAGCCAGATGATGCACCATCGGGGACCCGTGGTGAGAAAAGACCCAAGGAAGGTCCACAGGCTCTGTCTGCCTAAAAATATCTGTTAACCAACCTGCACAGCTTGAAAACTCTCACCAGCCGTTGGGCTGAAGAATGAGGTGGGAGGAATTGTCTCCAAAGACATGTGAACCCGGGTGCCCAGTCACAACGAGAGAATAGGACTGTATCCAGGCCTGCCACCAGACGAGAAACCATCTTTGTTTATAGTAGCGATGAACCAACCACTGATGAGAAGGTCTTTGATTGATCTTTAAACATTTGCCCCGTATCTTTGTTGTGCCAGTGACTATGTCACATTTAGCAGAATCGAGGAGGCTGCTCTCAAACTTCTGGGGATAAGTAAGCGTCTCGCAACGGATACAAGTGTGTGTCCTGTGAGCCCTGGCACGTCTTCTCCGCTTTTGATCCAAATATCACCCAATACCCAATCCTGCCATTGCTACTCTGGAAAGAGTTCTATAGACGCTTGCATCCTCTCTGACCTTGGCCGCTGGTTGTTCACATGGATGGTGTGATGGGCTGAATTGTGTCCCTCCCCCAAATTCAAATGTTGACATCCTAACCGCCAGCACCTCAGAATGTGCTTGCGTTTGGAGACAGGGTCTCTTAAGAGGTAACTAAGTTAAAATTGGGTTATTGTAGTGGGACTGGTGTCCTCATAAGAAGGGATGCGGACACAGACGTGCACGGAGGGATGACCACATGGGGACACAGGGCAAGACGGCCACCTACACGCCAAGGAGAGAGGCCTCAGGAGGCACCAGACATGCCGGCACCTTGACCTTGCGCTTGAAGGCCCCAGAACTGCGAGACCCAGTGTCTGTGGTTGAGGCCACCCGGTGTATGGGGCTTTGTTACGACGACGCGTGAAGACTGATAGGGCTGGTGGTTGCACAGAAGCCGGGCTGCATCAGAGAAGGTGTGCTAAGTGTTGCTTGACTTTATCCTCGGGAAATCTGTTGCCCTGCCAGCAGTCCCCATGCTTTTCTGTGACTTTCTTGTAACAGACTCTCAGGAAATAATAAATATCTTGAAACTTAAGACAGACGTGAGTCCGACAAGTTCGTGTCAAGATTCCAACAGAGCCCGCCTTTCAGACAGGCTAATGAAGGGGGTACTTCCAGGTTCTAGCTTGGGTTTCTGTAAAATTCCCAACTTAAGCACCCATCCTTCCCCTCCCCCAGCACGAGCAGTCTATGGACAAAAAGGTCAGCTCAGCTTATGGGCCAGTTAGCCTAATACAGTCAATGACTGTGTCTTCCTCCAAACTTACTTCCAACTCAAAAGATGGATAATTATAAGAAATTTATTCTCAGCTAAGAAGGAGGAAAGCAATTATAATGATTTTTTGCATACATTTGGAGAATATTGATGCATTCTCCCCAGGTGTGTGGAAGCAGATTAGCATTTCCATTAATATTAGTTAATGTGGTTAGTATTTATCAAGCACCTTCTCTGCCCGGCCAGGCACTGTGCTTGGTGCTGCAGATATGAGAGCTGGTGCCTGGCTCAGTGGAGCTTAGGGTCTCAGGAGAGAACCAAGCACTAGTGAAACAAAAACAGAGACACTTCACAGACTGCGACAGGCACAGTGTAGGAAAAGACGCGGGACCCCGAGAGAGGGAGGCGGCGGGGCCAGGCAGAGCAGGGGCCCAGGACGTGGGCAGCGTTGGAGAAGGTGAGAGAACAGGATGGAGTCTAGCCCGGCTGCGCTCCGCAGGCTGCCGCAGAGATGCCCAGCCTGATAACTAAAAGCAACAAGGGAACCTTTGATGCTTCCTTTTGAACAGCTCCACTGAGCTACAGTTCGTCCGTTGAAAGGGTACCGTTTCCGTGGCTCTTCGTATGTTCACAGATCTGGCTGTCACCATGGTCAGTTTTAAATCCTTTTCCTCATGTCGATAAGTCCCATCCGCCTCAGCCGTCACCCCACCACCCCCACCCCAGTCCTGTCTCCATGGGTTTGCCCACTCTGGACATTCCCGGTAAACGGGATCCCACGGCGCGTGCTCTTTTCTACCACAGATGAGAGGAGCCTAAACGGAAGGACGTGCTGGAGTGCAGAGATGCAGAGAGCCTTTCCCTTACGCCTGAGGCCCGCCTGCGAGGGAAACCACCTTCTCCTGCCCAAACTGTCTGCTTCTGTCTGCCCTTAAAGGTGCCTCAGGCTCACCCCTGCTGGGCCCCCACCCCCAGCAAAACTGAATACCTGCCTCAGGAGTTTCCTGCTCTTTGAAGCTTCCAAGGGAGTTGAGAATTCCCTTCTTCATGTTTTTCCTCAATGGGAAGTATCCTTTGGACTCAGTTTATCACATGATTATTAGTGTTCCTGTTTCCACTCCGGGTAGGGCCCGGGCAGCGCCTTCTCCATGTTTTTCAACCAAGCGTTTGGCAAAGTTGAGTTATTAACTTGGTGTTTTGTCAATAATCCAAGTATTTGCCTTTCATTAATTAATAGAGTGAAAATTTCCCCATGTCCCTGACAACAAACATGAACTCCATAAAGGGTTCACCCTGAGCTCTGGTGTTACGGAAAAGTCACTTGGGCTCTTTCCCTCATTAGTTCTCAGAATAAGTGGTGCCTACTTTTTTAAAAAAAAATTTATTTTTATTGAGATGAAATTCACTAACAAAATTAATCATGTTAAAGTCAACAGGTCTGGCGTTTAGCGCGTCCACAACATAGTACGACCACAACTCTATCCAGTTCTAGAACTTTCTCATCACCCCGAAAGGAGACCCCATCCCAATTAGCAGTTACTCCCCACCCCGCCCACCGCCGGCAACCACCAGTGAGCTTTCTGCCTCCATAGACTTGCCTCCTCTGGACATTTCATATAAACAGAATCCTAGGACATGTCACCTCTGGGTCTGCTCCTTTTCCTGAGCATCTTTTTTCCAAGGTTTATCCACGTCGTAGCGGGTGTCATGTTTCTTTCTTTTTATGGCTGAATAGTATCCACTGGATGGGTTCCATTTTGTTTATTCGTTCATCCACCGGTGGACACCTGGGTTGTTTCCACCTGTTGGCTCTTGCGAATAATGCTGCCATGAATACGCATGTATGATGCTCTCCTTTTGAATGAACACTGCCCTGCACTCTCTCCCCAAGCACTTCCCCCTGCTCTCCCCAGAGCCCCTCTCCCTCTTCTCCAGCGGCTGCCAAGGTTCTGAAAGGCAGGCTCTCAAAGCTCTCGCTTCATCCTCAACTAACCCCCGACCCCCATCCTTCTCCATCCAGACTCACCACCAAAAGCCCTCACCAATCCCTAAGGAAAAGAGATGGTGGTCATTGTGGCCCTCCCGCTCCCAGTGTTCCCATATCTTTTGTTTTTTTTTTAAAGATTTTATTTATTTATTTGACACAGAGAGAGATAGTGAGAGCAGGAACACAAGCACAAGGGGGAGTGGGAGGGGAGAAGCAGGCTTCCTGCCAAGCAGGGAGCCCGATGCGGGTCTTGATCCCAGGACCCTGAGATCATGACCTGAGCCAAAGGCAGACGCTTAATGACTGAGCCACCCAGGCGCCCCTCCACATCTTTTTCTACGTTTTCCTATTTACATACACAAACATGCAGCTGAGGAAAATGGGGTGTTTGGGTGTGAGAGAGAGCGTCACGTAGATGAAATTATTCTGTACCTTTCATTTGGTGACTTGCTTTTTATTTCTTAATGCTGCATCTAGATGTTCCATCATGTTAGTACACACAGATGCACCTAATTATTTTTAGCTGCTGCAAAGTTGTCCACAGCACCAGTCACAGCGGCATAATTAGCTTCTGATTTGCGGACGGACACGTGGGCTTTCCATTTTTCACTGTAGCAAGTAATTCTGCCGTGAACATTGTCTAAATGCTTCCTCATCTAAAGCGTTGCTGTTTCTTCTGGGTTGATACTGGAAGGACATCTCCTGTCATTGGATATGTGCGTTTTTAATTTTAATAGAAACTACCGATTGCGCCACCCCACCCCACCCCCACCCCCGCCACGTACCTGTTCCAACACTCCTGCTTGGAACAACCTGTTTCCCTGCACTTTTGCCAACATTCTACATTATCCAACTTGACGTGCTTGCAAACCTAGTGGGGCAAATAGTATTTAAGTCTTGTTTTAATTTGCATGTCCCCGATTACCAACCACATAATTGTTTTTAGATTGGACTAGAGCAATGGTTCTCAACCAGAGGCCACTCTGCCCCCGCAAGGAACAACTTGGCAATGTCTGGGGACGTTCTTGGTTTGTCACCCTGGGGGAGCAGAGCTCCTGGTGTCAGGGAGGCAGAGACCAGGGGTGCTGCTACACATCCCGCTGGGCACCGGGCGGCCACACAACAAGGCAGGTCAGCAGCGCCCAAGCTGAGCATCCGTTGTTGAGAATGCCCGCCCAAATGATGTGTTTTATAAAACTAGCGGTGCAGCCGTGCCGTGACAGAGAGAGAGATTGCCCACAAGAGGTCATGTGGTTTTTATAGAAATGATGATAATGAGATAGTTCCCAGCAAAACCTCATCTCCTTCCCCAAGTATTGGAGCATTGCCCTCTAGAATGACGTACACAAGACACACAGGCGGGCAGGACCTCCCGGGCCTGGTAATTGGTGATATGACTACGCGTTACTTTTCCTCTCCAGCTTCAGGTGACAGGGACTGGATCAGTCAGTTTGGAGGTTTTTGAGTCACTCCCTGATGCGATCCCTTCTTTCCCTGCCTGTCCCCCTCTGACTCTGAGGGTGGGGCAAATTTCCCTGTCTGAACAACCCCCAACATCCATCCCTCTGTGCACCTTACTTTTATTTCATAGGCAGGTCTTTGAAAACGCCGATTAAATTATTCAACATTTTCTGCAACATAATGAAAATTTATTCCCCCAACTTTCCAAAATCATTTTTGGCGTAAGAATTAACTGTTTAGGAAATAAATATTTATGCATATGATTCCTGACCTCTACCTCTCTACAAATTATGAAGGAAAATTCTGCACCAACTCGACAAAAATGAACCTGAAAAATAAATTTCACTGCATAAAAATCCCTAGGATTGACGTCAATGGGCTGGGAGCTGGAAAGGGCCTATCTCCCTCGTTTTTTTTTAATAGAATTTCGCAAATAATCAAAAGAACAAACATTAAGAGAAGAACAATAAAGAGCCAAAATATTTGCTCTTTTGTAAGCTTTTGTTAAGAATGCCGTGCACATGCCAAAACTCATGGTCTAATAAAATAAGATGGTCTCCAAAAATGTAATATGGTTTCAGCCTTTGGCTCCCATTTGATGCATGTGGGAGTGTTAGTAGAGGAAACAGGAGGGCTGAACGTGGGCTTACCCAGATGGCACTGGGTTGTGTAGCTTCCCGATGCTGGACAACCTCAGTCAAGGCTGTTGTCAGTTTACAATGCTGAGCCCCGGGGTGTTGAGCCTCCAGGTGAAGTTGAGACCATCATTGCTGCTTTAGAAATGGATGGGGGGTGGGGGTGCTGGGGACACACTGGAAGCAGCTTCCCAAAGTTTGGTCTCCCGTGTGTGTAAATTTGCAATTGCTAAGTGCTATACAACCATGAGAATCTTCCTGAATGTCTTGAATATTCCTTATTTGTTCATGTAACAAATATTTTAAGTGCCCTGGGTTAGACCGAATCACTGGTGTGAATTCTTTACTCACGGGTAGTCGTGTATCCACGTCCTTGCCATGGCTCCACAGCAGGCAGAGGATCTCTCCACGACTGGACATGGGGCTTGGCCACGTCATGGTTTGGCCAACACAGTGAGAAGCAAAGACTCAAAATAGGCTCATCCAGTCGGACTTGCCCTCCTGCACTTAGGCCAACCCCGTGTGAAGAATGTGCCTCAGAGCAGACCTGAACTGAGCACATACTTGGAACCAAGCAGAGCCAGACCTAGCCTGGATCAAATCCCAGCCAACCAGCAGACAGGTGGGCCAGAAATAAATGCTTGTTATGGAATACCAGTGAGTTTGGGGGCGATTTGTTATGCAACATTGTTGTGGCAGCAGCTGACCAATACACACCAATAGTATTCCCAGACTGGGGCGCAGAGATTTTAAAAGTTTAATAAAAGAAGGTCCCAATGTTTAAGAAGCTCACAGTTGAGTGAAGGAGCAGACTTGTACACAGACGCACAACACAGTTAGGTGCTGTTACAAATGTATGAGTCATAGAGACCCTGAGACCGGGTGGAGGGCTCTGCTCCTCCTGGGAGACCAGAGAACCCTTCCCAGCGTGGTGACTCAGACTGAGAGTCAACAGGCAAATCAGGAAGGGAAAGGGCCTTTAAAGCAAAAAGGAAGTGTGTTCGGTGTCCATGAATCTGCCACCATTCAGCCTGACTGGAGCACGGGAAGTTAGGGGAAAGAATACTGAGGAATGGAGTTAAAATTGCCGGGGGGGTCCCACCACTCTGCACCCCATTGCAACCAGAGCATCATCCACCCCCAGAATCCCTGCAGAAAAACCTGATGTAAAAACCTGAAAATGGTTAGAGACTTTGAAGCAGTGGAAGAAAAATTTGACCTGAAATCCGTATAACAAGAAATGGAATCACAACCTTAAAAAATGCTAGAACCTCCACATGAGGCCTGCTCGTTAGGCTCTGCCTGCTGGAGACCCAAGGACCTTAGGAACAGCATTACCGAGACTGACAGGATCTGAAAGTCAGCAAAGAATTGGAAAGAAAAAATACCCAGAAGGATAAAGATCTAAGTGGGCTGAGGTCTCCCAAGCAGGAAAAAAAGAATTGACAAGATGTCAGTTGACCAAAATGTAGGTTTCTGCCCTCGGGGCAAGACTCCCACTGGCCCTGTTCCTGCGCAAGGGCAGCTGATCCTGAAGAGCTCCCCGGTCGGGTGCCAGGACTGAGAGGCAAGGGCTTCCAGCGTACTCTGCATCACAGGAACCACCCTGGGAATTTTAACCATTTCACGTTTTACTCTTAGTGTATCTGTTAGGGTTCAGCCAGGGGAACAGAGCTGCCATGAGTGTGATGGGTTAGGGGTTTATGGACATTGGACCTTACATACATGTGGGTAAGCTGGGGATGGAGGGCGAAGGTGGGAGATCAAAGAAAAGTCGCTCGCTGGTCCCCCCGAAGCACAGAGCGGGCAAATGGCTCCTTGGGGGAAATGCAGGAAGTCACGTACAAATGGCAGCGTTAATGGGCTGCACTGGGCAGGCTGTGGAAAGGACTGGGACCTCGAGCCCTGTGTGGCAGCTGTTACTCCGGACCCGCGGCCAGGAGCTGGGGGGGGGGGGGGCGTCACATGGGGCCCTGGGCAGTGACCACAAGGATGAAGAGAGGCTCATGCCTGAGTCGCTGGGGAAGCTTTTGGTGCAGCGGCCAGGCGGCTCAAGTCAAACTGGCTTCTTACAAAAATCCAGGGGTAGAACTCATCCCAGGCTAGGGGTTCAACGATGTCCTCAGGCCCGGCCCAGTCCCATTGCTAAGCTCTGCTGTCATCACGCTGTCTTCTCCATTGGTTGGGAATGTCCTGGCAAACAACCAGAAATATGACCGACCGTGGCCGCACATGGCAGGAAAAGCCATAAAGGACACTTCTGGCAAAGGGGCCCCTGGCTTGGTTGCAGCTTTGGAACCGAGACCAGCCCAGGAGACAGAAATTCCCCAGGAAGAGCAGGGCGAATGCAGAGGACCGCAGAGGAGGTGGGGCGAAACGGGAGTTAGAGTAGAAGGGAGACCTGCCCTTGTGTGAAACCACAGGCAAAGGGAAAGAAACAATATATAAAAAATGATTTAGCATCTACAAAACCACAACTAACTAGAATTCATAACAGAAGGACTAACTCTCTGAAAGAGCAGTAGCAGTGACGACAAAGCAGAGCGTAGCTTTGCTGGACCTCAGCTCGGAACGTGGAAGTGGACAGACTCCCGATTTCTCCCTGATCTGTCAGCGTCTGCAAATGCACACGGATGCACCGTGAGCACTCACGTGGGGGTTACATAGATTTTAGCAGGAAGGCAAATTCCCAAAGAAAGGATCTGCAAACGATGAGAGCAGCCGAGCGAACAAGCGATGTCACGAAGTCGGTATTTTGGGGGATCATGAGCAGTACCGCTCACCCCTCCCAGTCACCCTGGAAATCCCAGCCATCGATCTGAGGTTGCCGCTTATGGGGGCAGATGTGTCCGTGTAAATCCGTGATCCTTGCCGGGAAACAATGGTGGGGGGGGGTGTTCGTGTGGCTGGGGGTCAGGCTGTCATGGCGTCAGTGCTCAGCGCACAGTGCTGTGGCCGCCAGGAGTCCATGACCAGGCATCTGTCCACGTGGCGTCGCTGCGCAGCAGGGAGCCTTCACACCCCTGGGATTCGAGTTGTCTTATAGCTTCAGTTGGGCTCTGGCGCCCTAAAATATGTTCAGCACTTCAAACGAAGTAAATGTTTGTGGAAGGAATTTAAACTATAACTGAGTTTGAGAAATAATAGACCCCACAGACCATGAACAGAGCTGGGCTCTTGATGAGAAATTCTCTCCTTCAGGTCCCGTTTGACCCACTCACGCCTCTGAGATCCTGGCCTGTTTTCTGCGAGGGCCTGTGATTCAGTCAGAGCCTGGGTGCCTGATTGAGGCAGCACGGAACGTTCCGGGCACTGGACTCAGGGGCAGTCCAGCTGACCCTCACTGTTCGTGGACTCGGCATTCAGGGATCTGCATGCTCACTAAGATCGAGTGCTCGCCCAGGAACCCGCACAGGCCAGCAACACTGGGGTACCTGTCATTCCGCTGGGGTCACCGTGACCAAGCATCACCCATGGGTGCTTACAGAACAGACATTTGTTGCCTCGCAACCTCGAGGCTGCAGATCTAAGATCAAGGTGTCACAGGGCTGGCCTCTCCTTGGCTTGCAGACCCACCTTCCCGCCAGTCCTTGGGCGGCCTTTCCTCTGCCCACGAGTGCTGGCTCTGTGCATCCCAGTCTCCCCTGAGGACACCAGTCAGATTGGATGAGGGCCCATCCCAGCGACCTCAGTTTAGCTCAGTCGCCTCTGTAAAGGCCTGTCTCCCATACAGTCACTCCCTGGGGTGCTCGGGGTTAGGACGTTGGTGCGTGAACTTGCAGAGGGGACAGCCTGGCCCTCACGGTCACGCGGCGCACATGTTTCCTGCTGAGGTGGACCAAGGCCACGCTCTGCCTGCTCGTGGCAGCTCTCACGCTGTAAACAAGTGTCCTCTTCACGGTCTGTTTAGTGCACCTGATTCACATTGTCGTGCTTTCTGTTGGGAATTTTGCTATTAAAACGGTCCTCAGACACAGCGCTGAGGTGCTGGCTCATGTTTCCAAGCTGAGGAGGCTGCCATGCGCCTTATGGACAAAATGTGTGTGGGAGGTGAGCGTCGTTCAGGCCTGCATTATGATGCCATCGTCCTGAGGTCAGAGTTAACGAATCACCAGTCTGCACTAACTAAGGTGTCCGTAAACATAAGCACACGTAACACAAAGTAACTATTGACCGACTGACAAAAACGGGACCAGAGGCTCATGGGAACGTGACCCTGTGCTTCCCCAGGAAAAAGTCCAGAATTTGCTAATTCGGGACTCACAATAACTTCATGGGACCCAGTTCTGAGTAACTTAGAACCCACTAAAGCTTGATGCCCATCTAGGCTGAAGGAGATGCTTTGAACTGCCTTTCGGCTTAACTTACTTCATTTGTTGCCCACCCTCCCCCACCCCAAATCAATCTCACCACTCGTGGCCTGAATGTCCAGATGTTTTCATAAACTCCTTCATGGAGGTTGCAAAGCCTTCCCTAAAATCGGTATGGGACAGTTTGTTTCTTTAAAAGAGGGAGCACCAAGCAAAGAAAGACTTTGATTATAGGTATCTGGGAAACTGTTCCGTGAGCTCTATTTATGCATCAACTTGTCATCCAAATTCGAACCATCTGTGTTTATTGTTTCTTCCACGTAAAAGAAAAGGAAAGTAGATGATATAATCGAGAAGAAGGAAGAAAGGGAGGGAGGAAGCAAGGGAGGGAGGGGGAGGAAGGGACTCCACGCGAAGTAAGTCATCCACAGCAAGCCCCGCTGTGGCTGAAGCAGCCCTGAATGAGCACCTTTGCCTGCAAGCACTCCTGGCCAGTCTCCTTGAAAGAAAGAGAACTAACCCTTACCCACTTATCTCAGTTGATCAGGACAACGATTCAGAGAGCAGGTTATTGTCCCTGTCTTATGTTGGGTTGTAAGAAAAGATTTGGGTGTATCTGAGAGTGCCCCAGGGAGCATAGCCAGGGAGTGGGGAAGCGAGACAGAGGAGGAAGATGGATAACCGGGTGTGGGAATGTGAAGGTTCTTGCCGTGAGAACTCTCGCAGAGGCTGTGCACAATGTCCAGAAGTGCCCTCCCCCAGCAGTGAGGTAGCTGGGGTGTTCATCCACCACCCCCTTTCTGCACTGGCCGAGTCTCTCTCCTGGGGCATTAACGTGCATCACCCTCCTGTGGCATGAGAGTGGACTCAGGTGGGGGACACAGGGAGCTGCTAGTGAGTGTAAGACCTACCCATGGGGACCCCTGGTAGGGCCAAGGGGATGTGGGTGGGGCACTGAGTCGAAGTCTCCGTTCTACAGGTGAAAAATGGGAGGCAGTGTGTTCAAGGTTACCCATGGTAACCGAGAGAGAGGGTGTAGTAGTTATCACTTGCCGTGTAATAAATTAAAGACGTCTCCCAAGTTGGAAGGAGGGCATGCATCCCCTCCATGCTCAGATCCCAGAACTTTCCAGATTCTCTCTCCTTCTTGTCCACCTGGTGGAAGATGGGGGCTGCAGAAATCTCCCCAGCATCTAAACTTCTGCTCTCTTTCC